ATGGTGATCTAGCATTTGTAACTTCAATTTTAATAATTGACTAGATCAGAGAAGTCTCTCCATAGTCAGCCCAGCCATCCTATCTTTGACTAAATAACTTGTGATTTCTACTTGATGTGCTGGAAATTTCAGAAACTAGCTGGAAACATCAATACTCAAAACATGATAATAAATGTGTGACTATCTACTCTAGAACTTTATAATTTTCCTTGATGCTGCATATCTTGGCAGCTTGGAACTTCACAGTGGAAGCAAGGATAGATCTGAAATCCTTCTTCCCCCCCTCCATACACCCCCCCCCCCCAAAAAAAAAGCACAGTACCTTATGAATGAAAAGGAGCCATTAGCAGCACAAGGCTTATGACATACAATTAAGCAATTATGATTTGATCCAATTGAGGCAGCAGTACATATACTCGTTAATACATTACAACTAATTTTGTTTGTGATATAAAGTACATTGTACAGGAGCTCAATATGCAGCATCTCTATTCTAAATGTCTTTATTTTGGCTGTTTTCTTCTTTCTTGACCCCAGCTTTTCATCCTCTCTTAAAAGCTTCCCAGCAATCTTTGCACACTCTTGCTCCAATTTCTCACTCTCCACTTGGAACTTCATTTCATTCCTTCTTAATTCTCCTCTCATCTCTCTGTCATCCAAGCAGCTGAAGTACACAGGTGAATCTGTCTCTAAAATACTGCACTAGAGAGACACCCTGAACTGTGACTCACCCTTCCACATTCTGTAGCAATGAGCAGAAACACAGAAGACAGACTCCTCTACATGTAAAGGTTAATAATGGAAGAAAAGGATGACAATCTCTCCTTTCAGTTAAGTTGCTATTGTACATACCACAGCATCAGTATTCATAGCACACTGTATATCGTTGCATTGTAAACAACAGATATATTGGAAGCCATCTGTGGATAGAAGCCCCAGCAAAGTCAATCAATGTTCTGGTCAAGAATTTAAAAGACCGGAATCCAAATCTATATTTGGATACCTAATGTGACTAATCAACCTGATTTTCAGAAGTGCTTCACTGGGAGCTGCTGGTTACTCAATACTGTGGAACAAATGAGGTCACTTAGGCTATGTCTAGACTGCAGGCTTCTTTCGAAAGATCGCGTCTAGACTGCAGGCAGATCTTTCGAAAGAAAAATCCGTTTTTTCGAAAGAGAGCACCCAGCGAGTCTGGATGCTCTCTTTCGAAGATGGCCTCTTTACATTGAAGAACGCCTTCCTTCGAAAGAGGAACTTTCGAAGGAAGGCGTTCTTCCTCGTGAAATGAGGTTTACCGCCATCGAAAGAAAAGCCGCGTTCTTTCGAAATAATTTTGAAAGAACGCGGCTTGAGTCTGGACGCAGGGGAAGTTTTTTCGGGAAAAGGCTACTTTTCCCGAAAAAACCCCTGAGTCTGGACACGGCCTTATTTACAGTAGGTACCTATATATGGTGATAGGCACCTAGATTTACTTTTTCATGTCTTAGCCTTCATGACACAGGGTTATAATCAGCTGGGCCCATGAAGCTTAGTTATAGCCCCAGCATGACATACATGTCTCTATTTTCTTTATATAATAAGTTTTTAATGGGAGATGTAATAGTGTGATTAGTATATTAGGTGTCAAGCTTCATATACATTCAGCAATAAAGCCAAAATACTGATATTTGCCTAATATTTAAAGTATGTTGAAGCAAGCCTGTTTTGCAAAAGTCCCTCACCAGGAATACTTAACCCAACAAGCAAGTTGTAATTCCAAAACCAAAATATTGTGGTTTTCTAATTCTATTTATTATAACCCATGAACAGATGATCATCTAAAGTAAGGTATGAGAGGGGAACCTAGATCCATTCTTGGCTCCTCCCTCATTCAGCTCTACCTCAGTGACCACCATAAGGTTATATTGAGCTTTGGACTATTGGTGTTGCACTTTGTGAAATGACATCACTATAGGTGACCTGAATCTTAGTTAGGCAATCACCAAAGGGCATCAGACATCCAGTTGGGTAAAGGACTGCACTTGGGTAAGTGCTGTATAGTCTCTCTTAAATTTGTTACAAAAGTTATGTATTTGGTAGCACATATATTGTTATTAAGCAGACTTACTCTGAATCCCTGGAGTTTGATGTTCTGAAGTCTAAAGATGTTAATTAATACTATCAAGAAGAAAAATCTCATTGGGTAAAGAAATGATTTGGTCAGTCTATCCATAAGGCCTCATGCCAGTCAGCGGCTAAACCCAGGTTGTCAACAAAGATGTCAGCCATTATTACACATCTAGGTACATCAGCAATGACTCAACAACTGTTATTTTTACCTAATAGAAATAATATTTGCAGATTTGTGGAACAAAATTTAGTCATATTTTCTATTTGATAATTACGATGTACAAAATGAAAAAGGTTATGCCTGCATTTTTCGTAAGAAGAAATGGAATTGCCTTTTACTGATCCTTTCAAAAAGAGCTTTCAAGCATTTTCTTTGCTTTTTTAATGCATGTCTCAGAGAGGGAGGTTCCAAGTGGGACTTATTAATTCAGTCTGCTGAGCACCCGATCTGATTTGGAAAAGATCTCCACTGTATATTCATTGTCTATTTCACTCCTTGCTTTTGAAGCATCAGTAAACCCCTTCTTCATTACTTCCCTAGAGGCAGAACTAAGCAACCAGAAGATGCCCGATTTGTCTTCAGATGATAGAAGCTCTGAACTAAAATATAAGCAGGTCTCATACAATTTTTTTTATAGCTCAGGCAAAATTAGGTCAGTAAATGTGGCAAAACCAATTGCCAAGAGCAGATTACCTCAATTACCCTGATTAGTGGTTGGCCAGAAAACAGTGGAAATGAATATGGTACAGACAGCAGGATAATGAATGTACTGCTCTGTAGCACTTTGCTAGTGGCTCTATAGATTCAGCAAAGTGCAATTAACAAGGCAGATACCATTTTCACTCTCCACCTGGTGATTGGAGGAAGGGCGAGAAAGAGAAAAGGAGAAGGAAAGGTGTGCAGTCCTGGAGATAAGACACTGAGATCTAAAGAAGAGAAAAGAACATAGGAAGGGTTATATTGGGTCAAATCTAGAAGCTAGTTAGTCCAGTATCCTGTCTTGTGTCACTGGCTAATAGACCAAGTTATCCATCCCTCATGCCTATTCCCAGTTTCTGGCAAACAGAGGCTAGGGACATCATTCCTGCCCGTCCTGGATAATAGCCATTAATGGACCTATCCTCCATGAATGTATCTAGTTCTTCTGTTATAGTCTTAGCCTTTACAACATCCTCTAGCAAGGAGTTCCGCAGGTTGACTTTGCTTTAAACCTGCAGTCTATCAATAGAAATATCATGTGTGAGATATTTAATTTGAAAGAAGGCTGGTTGTATTTAACATCCTTATTGGCTGCCATTACACTACTGGTGTTAGACTGATAAATGTAAGAAACTCCAAATTAAATCCTTCTCCTGTAATACAGTGAATGATTCTCCCACTACATCAGAGGTGGGGAACCTCTGTCGTGCCAGTCACATGCAGGTCATAGGGTTAGCCACTGGTGGGCTGTTAAACAGTTTAGAACATAAGAACATAAGAATGGCCATACTGGGTTAGACCAAAGGTCCATTCATCCCAGTATCCTGTCTGCTGTCAGTGGCCAATGCCAGGTGCCCTAGAGGGAGTGAATTGAATAGGTAATGATCAAGCAATCTCTCTCCTGCCATTCATCTCCACCCTCTGACAAACAGAGGATAGGAACACCATTCCTTACCCATACTGGCTAATAGTGATTAATGGACTTAACCTCCATGAATTTATTGAGTTCTCTTTTAAACCCCGTTACAGTCCTAGCCTTCACAACCTCCTCAGGCAAGGAGTTCCACAGATTGACTATGCTCTGTGTGAAGAATGTCCTTTTATTTGTTTTAAACCTTCTGCCCACTAATTTCATTTGCTGGCCCCTAGTTCTTATATTGTGGGAACAAGCAAATAACTTTTCCTTATTCACTGTCTCCACACCAGTCATGATTTTATAGACCTCTATCATATCCCCCCTTGGTCTCCTCTTTTCTAAGCTGAAAAGTTTGTTTACTTAAGCATGTGTAGACACAGCTGCTTGCAGCTCCAGAGGCCACAATTTGCCATTCTTGGCCAATGGGAGTTGCAGGAAGCGGTATGGGCCAGGCCAGCACTGCAGCCACTGAGAGATGTGGGGCTTTATACCTGTGGACAAAGGGTCTGGTGGCCCACCAAAGGCTAACCCTGACAGTTGTGTCTGACCCACAGGCTAGCTGTTTCCAACCCCGGCCCTACATGATAAATAACTCCCATTAAAAGGTACAAGTGAATTTCTTGTATCCTGAGGTAGGAGAATTATGCCCTTTGGATTTCTCCAACCCCCCTGCTGGAAAAGATGTGGGAGGAAAAAGTTTCTTCTGAGAGAGAAAATTTTAAAGCATGGCTGAGGTGTGAGTATGAACAAATGGAACAAGTGTTGACACTCTCAAAGGCATGGTAAGGTGTGAGTAAGTGTGGGTCTTTTATTTAAGAGACTCAAACAATCCTATCTTCTGTTTGCTCTCTCCTTGCTGTCCAGACCCTCCAGGAAGTACCAGGCCAAAGCACCTGTAGTACATGGGATGGCAAAATTTGCCTCCTGTTGTTGCTACTGTCAAAGTCTCCCAGAGAACTGGAGCTGATCTGTCCTTATCACTCCTGCAAGGGATTGCTCCCTCTCCTCAGCACAGAGCATATGTTGGGATTAGGTCGGGCACCCTTTCCCCTTTGTTTTCAGGCAGCTCTACAGATCTTGTTAGTATGAAGGTAAATGGGATTGAACTTTCATTATCCCACTGACTGCCACCAGGAGGGATCCCAGAGGGGGGAAAGGAGTAGATGCTTCTTGCTGGTCTCCTTGAGGAAAAGACATGCCCACAAGAGGAGTGGGTGCAAAAGAGCTACTGCCAGCAATCACCTTTGAGACAAAATTGCTGTTGTTTCAGTGACTGAGCACCTCACAGGGAGCGGGGATAGAGCTGTGCTGCTAGGAGCCCTGCAAAGATGCAGTGGCACATCATTTCTATCCTCTTTCTTTTCCCCATTCCAGGCAACATTTTCACAGACAGTGATCAGGGTGACAGGGGGAGTGGAAAGTGGGGATGGTACGGATGATGCTAGAAGACCGTCCCCTTAGATTCCCATATCTACATGAAAGGCAATGGGAAAGGCCTATTGGGATCTATTCTGGTAAGATCACTCAACACCCAGATCTCACATGAAGAGAGGGGGAATCAAGGAAGAAGGAATTTTAAGGGCTTAACCATTTCCCATCTCCTTGATAATCACCATTGGCAAGAGGAGGGACCATTCCCTGCACTGCCTCTGTTATCCCTGGAGCCTTTCCTAATTTTCTAGGAAAGGGCAGAGAAATTCTTGCATAATCAAATAATAAAAAAACAACAAATAGTTTTGCATCTGAAGAAGTGGGTTGTGCCCATGAAAACTCATGATACCATCTAGATGTAGTGTTAGTCTCTAAGGTGCTGCAGAACTATTAGTTTGTTTTTAAGTTTTTCCAGTTATAGCCTAACACGGCTGACACTCTGAAACAAATTTTAAAAAGACATTTTATTTACAAAGCACCCTTCTCTCCCACTTTGGAGCCTGAGGCACTGTACAATAATTCATAATACATTATTATTATTATAATTCATAATATTTATAACAGTATAAATAAGTAATCAGCATTTCCCTCAGTTCAGGAATTATGAGGCAGGGTTAGTCAATAGAAAATTGGATTGTCTTCTCTCTCCACTGGTCAGGGAAGTCAATAGCCTCTGCAGGCCCTTGGGCAACAGCGAGGGGCTGCCTTTGTGCTCCTGGAAGGGGTGGGGACTCACGTGGAAGGGGTGGGGCCAGAGGCAGCCAGCTGTCTGCATTGCCCAGAGCGTGGCGCACCTCCCTCCCCCCAGCCCTTACAGCTGCCTGGAGTGTGCAGTGCAGCACACTGGCAGCAATTTAAAGGGCCCAGGGCTCTGGCCACTGCTGCTGCCACAGTAGCAGTGGTGGACAGGAAAGCACCTTTGAATAGCTCAGAGCAACTGCCCCTTTTGTCCCTTACCACCGCCGTCAGCGAGCCTGGGGAGTAGTGAATCTGTGTGTGTTTCTATTTGGGGTAGTCACTTCAAGGCACCTTTAAGGGGCTTAATTTTTAGAAGGGGGTGGGGTGATCAGCATGATCAGATACCCCCAACCCCTTTAGAGATCTCAAGCTGGATCCTCAAAAAACAGAGGCATCCCAAGTCATTTTGGAAAATCCTTTTGGAAAATCTTGGTCCAGGTGTTACACCTATAATGAGGTACAGGATCCCAAGCCAAATGCTGCACTAATTGATTCTATATGCATGTTGTCCAAAGATAAAGGCTTTTCACTTTGCATATATCTGTATTTATGGTGCAGCAATATTTTAACCCCCCTGATTTACACAATTACTGCATGTTTGAGCAGTTCCAATTACGATAGTCATTGCTGACACTTTTCTATCTGATGGGCTATAGGATGTGACAAGCTGGACTGGACTTGGAGCATGCCTTGCCCTCAGCAGGCTCTGTAAGCAATGAGAGCTTTCATCAAGATTGGCGAGTGAACGACTAAAACTGCCATTGTCACTAGATGTCCTACACCTCCCGCCAGAAGAAGCTCATTAAGAAGCTATGGGCTGAGAAAGCTTTTCGGGAGGAAATCAAGGCTTTTCAGGAGAAAATCAAGGGCTTTCGGGAAAAGATGAATGCCTTTCGGGAGAAGATCCAGGCCTTCAGGATGGCGATCCAGGCCTTCTGGGAGGAGGAAAACCCCATCTGGGAGGAGGAAAATGCCTTTCGGGAGGCAGAAAAGGTTTTCCGGGAAGAAGCAAAAGCATTCTGGGAGGGGTACAGGGACTTTTGGAAGGGGTATAATGCTTTCTGGAAGAAGGACAAAGCTTTCTGGAAGGCGGATCAGGTCCTCTGGGAAAAGGACAGGGTTCTCTTGGATGAGGATAAAGTCCTGTGGGCAGAAGAAAAGGCTCTCTGGGCAGATGAAAAAAGCCTCCTAGAAGAGGAAAGAGCTTTCTGGGAGGATGAGGAAGCCCTCCGAGAAGATGAAAAAAACCTCCAAGAAGATGAAAACTCTATCTGGGAGGGTGCATTTGACCCTCTGCGAGAAGAACAATTACTGCTAGCTGTAGCTATCAATGCACCTGAGGAGCATGGCCCAAATGTCCTGAGAGGAAAAGGGTAGCTCAAGGGAATGAAAACAAGGGTAAATTATTCTGCTGGATCAAAACCAGTACTTGGAAAGCCATGTGTGCTGAAACATCTGTGTAATTAGCCAGTTAGCAGCCTCTTTACTTTGATTATCCTTCTGAAATAGCCTCTTTGATCCCAAAAACCTAATAAAAGCGTAATGGAATTTCAATAGAATTAGTTTACACTGACATTTGCTTTAAGATTATTGCAATTAGGTGTTCATTATATTATTTATTTCTCTAGGATCTAGTACACTGGTAAATGGCATGAAGCTGTCAAATACCACCCAGGTTTCCAAACCTCTCACCTGTGAAACAGATGGTCAATGTTTAGTAAGTGCTAATGTATCACTGACAGACAGAATCAAACTTGGGACCTCTGGAGCTTAGAACATGAGCCTCTACCACATGCATTAAAAGCCAACTGGTCTTAGCAGAGGCTCAGTAATCTCAGTGCCACTATATGGGATGGTGCAACACACCCTGAAGGTGTATGGATTACACTCTCACCAGGCAAAGAGGATTTACCAGCTGAGTCCAAGATCATGGTAATTATAAATCTGTCAATCACTGCTGACCCACCAGTATAATTTGCGTGAATGGAGTTACACCAGCATATCACTGGAGTTAGGCAGTGGTGTTTTAGGCCCCCTTCTTTATATTTAAGGGACATTGTGATAAAGTCACTGATGAGAAAACTTTGGCCCTTCCCCAACATTATGCTTTTGATCTTCCTCATTGCATTCTGGAGCCTGACGTGGATGGGTCATTGTTGGTCATCCTTTAGTTTCTTCCAGAACTCCAGCTCCATCTGTCTGGATCTCACCCCTGAATCACACTAAACTACATGAGAAGATCTGTTGAAAATTGGGTGAGAGCAAGGAACCCAGCAATAGTAGGAAAAGGATGTTAGTCGGAGAGGAAGGTGGGAGTGGGACAGTCAGAAAGGAGAAAATAAGATAGTAGTGGGAAGGAGTATGCATGTCAGGAAGTGGGAAGGAAGGCTGCATACCAAGTCTGTCTCTCTGTCTGCAGCAAAGGCGAGAGAACTTTGAACAAATCTTTGGGGCTGTCTGATTTTCAGGAAAGACACGAGTACCACAGGGCAGAGCTTGTTTTCTCATTATTTTGTATCTGACAAGCTGTTTCTGAAGAGGGGAAAAAAACACTTTTCTTCAAATGCACCAAAGTCAGAGCCATGGAAGGTGACTTCTGTATTTGTCCCTCTTTATTGCCACTAGCGGTGGAAAAGGGGAGTCAAAGGCAGACTGTGAAAAACATTCATCAGAGTCAACCTGGTAAACATGGTAAGCGTAAGAGTCAGCCTTGAGGCTGTTGAACTTGCATTTGGTGTAGTAGCTGTAGTAACATGTTCAAGGTTTACACAGTGTATCATGTTTGAAACATTTAGATCAGAATGCGAGAGTCCTTTACAATTCCTGCTAAAGCATTTGGAGAGTTCTGCTTTTGTTAGGTATGTATAAATGATAAGTCAAGCACTCCTTCAAATACAGTTTTTAGATTTGAGATCCACAAATGAGATCACAAATGAAGATGAACTAGACTCTCCTGTTTTATTATGTTCAGAACAAATTGTACACAAAAGCTTAGAAATACATGAATACCCAACTCCTGATGAATATCTACCCCATAAAAAAAACTTCTTATTAACTGACTTGAGCAAAGTAAGAATGTTTTGTAATGTTTTATGTTCCTCCTATTACGGTCATAAATTATATAGGTGTAAATGACCCACCTAGTCTAACTTCTGGAGCATTCTCTATTATACATTTTAGAGTTGTATCACTAGATACCACAAAAAGAAAAAAAATCCTTCAGAAAATAACATTCAAAAGGCAACTGTCATTTCATATATTTTTAATGTAAAAAAACCCTGGGAATTTATCTCTATTATTCAAATCAACGTGTCAAATTAACATCCATTTAAGCTAAAATTAGACATGTTTTTCCTTACGAAGAACCTGAACTACATGAAATGCTTTTAAAAGAGATCCTATTCATTTTTTCTTGTATAGCCAAATAGAGTGTTATCAGCGATAGTACTGTCATTATAATACAATGGCTGTGCCACTTACGGAGTTACACAACACAGTGCACAAAAGCCAGAAGTTTAGTAGGAGAAAAGGATACACCAATATGCTTTCAAATCTCTAGTAGTGCCCCTTAAAATATTTCATGTAGCCTAAAATATGGATACTCCTCCCTACCCAAACACGCCCTTCTGTGCCTGTGTCCCCCTCCCTCCTTGGATGGAAGGGACGGGGCTGGGGCAGCCAGCCCTCAGTGTTGCCCAGAGCGCTCATTGTAGGGCTCCCAGTAGCAATTTTAAAGGGGCTCCTGAGGCCCTAATCGCCAGGCC